CTGAAAATAATTATTTTATATAGACTAGTATTGTTCCAGGAAATTCTTTGAAAGTCAACAAGATGCACACCAAATACTGAGAAAATCTTTCTCTGCTTGCTATGGATTGTCTGTAGATTAGAGCATTGCTTGAAATATATTGAAATATTGAATGTTAAACACTTTCTGTTTTTCAAAAAAAGGTTCTAACTAACTAATATCTATGTAGAACTGTAGAAATTGAGGAAAATATATATGTTAAAAGTTGTTAGAGTTAAATCAGCAGAAATGTTCATAATTAGCATGGCTCTTCACTTCTATTGTTTCACTGAATTGCACCTTTATTAAATCTTTACAGTGACAGTATTGCATCCCAAGGAGCTTAAGCTTGCATGATATTTAATTATTTTTAGTCTGAATATTTTTCATTTACATAGATGGAAGAAACACATTGTTAAAGACAGTGATTTCATGCATGCGTGACTACAGAATGCTCTTTTGTCTTGGCTTCTTTTATGGTATTTAGTAATTTTAAATTTCAGTAATAGAAATAAATAGTAGTTGCAAGACTTATTTGCCAACTTGTGTTGATAAAGCTTTGGTTTCTCTCCTTTTTGTATTCTGCCCTGTTTTTTTGGTTTGCGTTGCTTACTTGTATGTGTATTATTTTGTATAGAATGCAGTGCGACACAACCTGTCTCTCCACAAATGTTTCATGAGGGTGGAGAACGTGAAAGGTGCTGTATGGACGGTGGATGAAGTGGAATTTTACAAGCGCCGGCCCCAACGGTGCACCACTGGGTATGTCACATCGCAGCCGAGCCGGACACGCAAGTTGGTCTCGGACTCCTCTAGTCTCTAGCTCCTTCTAGCAAACATTTGGATTTGAATTTTTTCCCACTTTTTCCATTCTCATCTTATACCATTTACATGTTTCTCATATGTGTTTTTCCACTTTTTCTGTCTCGCTTTTGTTTGTGTGTGCATAACAGCATGAGGAAGCTTTACTGACAACTAACAACTTAGCACGGTGCAAGAAGGGTGGACAGGACAGGCGACGGAAGGTATTTCAAATCGAACATGTCTTGCTGAGAAGGCAGCTAGAAGTGAGACTTTACCATTTTCTCTACTTTTTTTCTCTTAAACTTTGTCTTTTACTCTCTTTTCTCTTTCTTGGTGGTCTGTGTATACAGAACGCGATCCGCACCAATCTGTCACTGCACAAGTGTTTTGTGCGCTATGAAGACGACTTTGGCTCCTTCTGGATGGTGGATGATGCAGAGTTTGTCAAGCGACGCCATCTTTCTCGTGGTCGTCCCCGGAAATATGACCCCACCCCATCACCCACTCCACCCCACCTCTCCGCACAGTAAGCACTGACTTTTTGGAAACTTTGCTGCTGCTGACGCTGCTACAGCTCATTGCTTTAGTGATTGATGTTTGTGCCATGCCAAGCTTCCAGAGAGACAGGATTGGAGGTACCATGGAAAACTTGACCTAACCGTGCACAATTCAGATCAGATTGGTCACCTCCACTTCTGTCTCTCATGTGCATACTTTGCCTACACATCACACGAACACTACCTCAGTCATGCCTTGCAAGAAATGATGTTTGCACTGCTCCTTGCTGTCTGTCTCATCTGCTTTGGCTGTGCACTTTTCAGACTGGAGGACCAGGATTGGATATGTAGTTCTGTAGGGTGCAGTGCTTTCTGGAGGCATTAAATCTATTGTCATTGTTCCTGTATTGCTCATAGGAATTTTGAAATTCAAGGGATTAAAACTGATCTGTAACTTTTTGTATTTACATTCTTCTGTAGCGGTTTGTCTGTGCCTGTGCTGTAGTACTGCATGGTGGGGAAAGGGGGTGGATGTGGGTTCCTCTACAGAGCAAGAGCTGTTGAAATTTACAGTGCAGGGAATAGTACAAGTATATCCCCAAAAATATTGTTCAGTAAACTTCTTGCCCATGGTATGCCTAAGGCAACGGGATATAGTAAAATGGCTTGAAACCTTTAAATGATTTCAATACTTTCATCATATATGTTCGAAAGTTGTTATATAGCTTTTGTTACGCACATATAATATATAATCTTGAATGAGCATAATAGGTTATGTGAATCAATTTCAGTATTTCATTTTCCTCATGCAAATCTAAAGAAACGTTTAGAGTGAAAATGGATTGGAACTTGACAAACACATTAAGAGATTTCACACACATTTCTGTTACTAAAGGTATAATGAATATATTTGTGTATATAATTTTTATCAAAAAATAGCTAAATCTTTGAACGGGAATAAAAAAATAAATTATCTAATTAGTGGTAACGATTCAATACATGTGGTTCTCATACGCAAAATATCCACATTATCATCTTCATCCAAAGATTAAAAACCGTGTTTATCACCATACAGAGATTAAACACCATGTTTATAACATTTCTTAGCTAATGCAGGCAAAGGTGTGTCAGTTGAAGTGTGTACAGTAGACTACATATTGATAAGCGAGACCTGCATAAAATACATGGAAACCACATATGCAGCCAACATAATGTACCCTTCAGACTTTCATACATTTGTTCTCAGGGATGAAAATTGAACTAAAACATGTATGCATTATGTGTTTGAACTGCAAAATTATGATATTCCATTTTTATATATTGTACTGCCTACACGATACCTTGCAAACACGTTACAATATAGAGAAAATACCTGAGATCACAACAGAAACTGCTACTGAAATATTGTCATACTGCTGTACTTGGTGTACATTCCATTAAAAGAAGCATACAGTTCTAGAAGTGATGTATCATTGGTAAGATGTGTTCATGGCAGTTTATGCCCCATCTTAGGACACATAATTAAATTTAAAATGTTACATTTCTACTTTTTACAGTTGCAATGTTAACAGTCAGAGATACACAAAACAAATGTTTTCAGCTTTGTCTACTTTCTGATNACTCCCACCTCCGGTTCTTCTTTCCGCGACGGCTGCTATACTCCAACTTGTAGTCGGCTGACGGTTACTTTACAACTCGGCGGATGTCACAGTACAACTGTGTTAGGCGGCTGCTACAGTAGAACTCCCTGGTACCAGCTGTGCAGCTCACTTATATAGCTGCAGTGCTTGCCGGTTGCGTAATGAGTGCCACATCACAGTAGGAAGTTGATTACGGGTACGTAGCGTTGCGCGTTACGTCACCGCGGAGGGGGTGGCGGGGCGGGAACTCACCTATTACCGTAGTAATGCGAGCGTTACGTTACCGCCACATACCGCTGGGGAGGTAGGGGTGATCCATAGCTCAACATGTCACAATATATTGTACTGCCTACACGATACCTTGCAAACACGTTACAATATAGAGAAAATACCTGAGATCAGAACAGAAACTACCACTGAAGTATTGTCATACTGCCGTACTTGGTGTGTATTCCATTAAAAGAAGCATACAGTTCTAGAAGTGATGTATCATTGGTAAGATGTGTTCATGGCAGTTTATGCCCCATCTTAGGACACATAATTAAATTTAAAATGTTACATTTCTACTTTTTACAGTTGCAATGTTAACAGTCAGAGATACACAAAACAAATGTTTTCAGCTTTGTCTACTTTCTGATTATGATAGCCAGTTGATTATATTCATATATTATGCTGTATATACTGGATAACCTGATTTTACAAATGTATTTAATATTTTAAAATATTAAAGATTTTTTATTACAAATTGATCACAGCATAGTCAAGTGTAAGTCGTTAATTCCTTCTACTCTACTTTTGAATTCAGCAGCTATGTTAAGATATTGTGACATGTTGACCCCTACCTCCCCCCGCGGTGCGTGGCGGTGGCGTAACGCTC